CACACACATACACACATACACACACATACACACATACACACACATACACACATACACACACCCATACACACACACATACACACCCTACTCTACCACATGAGCTTAGAACTTGTCCCGGCTGAGGAAGTGGCCCACTGGTGGGAGACACCTGATTGAGGAAATCCTTCCAGCCAACGTGTAGGGCTGCGGTGGATCTCGCCATAGAGGGGGGGGGAGATCACCGACATCTCCTGAGGGGGGGGGGACATGCGAGACTAGTGACTCCAGCAGTTGATCAAATTATCATAATTATCATTTAAGCAAGCAAACATAATGCTTATGCATATGCATTATGCTTATGCATATGTTCTTCCACCTCAGAAAAGAGATAGTCAACCAATTTTTTTTTATTTTGTCCTTTTATTTGCAGATTTGTTCCAGAAGCAATGAAATTTTGTCATCAGTATTCTCTACTGAACTACAATCCATCCACGTCTATTTCTCAAGATCCAAACTCCTGGGGGTGCAAGCATAAGTATTTAGAATTTTTATTCACCGAATTTGTATATATTATTCTTTTTAGTTACATTTTTGCTGCATGGAAGGTACAGTAGATTATCAATGCACCACTTTCCACAGGAATATCTTCAGTCACTTCCGTAAACTCTGGTTATTTCGGGGTTTGTTCGTTCGATATTGTTGGATTCGAATGATACCAATTCGAATCATGCTATTAAAAGTTATTATAGACGTATCGCATGACGTAAATAAACATAGATTCTGATTATCTTAACTAAATCATTCGTTATGATTGAAGAGTCAAGCCAAAGAAAATACAATTTTTAGATTTGTTTTATTGAAAACTGTCATGTTCATATATTTGAATGGTAGTGAGTTTTATTTTCATTAATATCCAAAATAAAATGTTAATTTTGACTCATGTGATATTCACCTCTGTTTTCACATTAATAACAATAAATGATGGCAGTTGTGAAAAGTGAAGTCATCTATAAGAAATATAATTGTGATTTTAGAGCTGAGATTAATTGAGATTTTTTTGTTGCTGTTTCGAATTTTTAATAATTCAGAGATTTTTACTTCCCCTTTGGATTGGAATTAAGATCGGCTGTAGTGTATATAAGAATAATTTTAAACCTTCCTTTTTCTTCAGATTCTAATTTTAAGTAACATGTTTTTTTTCCTCCCAATTACGAAATACGTTTTTTGCATGAGCATCAAAACGTAATCGGTTCTGCAATAGTTAGTAGAAACTATGAGGATTTTTGTAAAATTATTGAACTGTGTGACTATTCCAAATTTGTGCAGTAAATTGTAAACAATGGATGTTGTATGTACTAAAACTGTACTAATGTACTAATTGCACTGAAAATACTAGGCCTTTACTTGTTATCTATCCTTTGGACTGGATAAAAATGTTGTCCAGATAATTGTCAACAAATTTCTTGGGTCAAGAGTATGTAAATGAATTTGAAAATCAAATGATAATTACAAAAATTGAATATTTTTGTAATATCTTAAGCATTTGAATGTAAAAAATTGAATACTTTTTTATTTAGTAGTTGTTATAGAAAATACCAATTTCTATGGGTAGGTATTTAATTCCAGTCAATTGTTCTTCAATGTAATTCAAATATCATGGCAATTATTGGAATGGCACGAAATACAATTAATTCAAATGCATTTGTATTATAAATATATGATTCTCTTAAGTTTTTAATCAACCCTTAAATGATCAGGACCGTTGTTTTGAAAGGGAAGTATGTTTTATTGTAGCAACATTCAATGTAACCAAATTACAACCGGCTAGTTAAACAAAAAATATATTAGTTTCAAAGTAAAATGATATATTTTACTGTAAGTTTGCACCACATTGGCTTCGGTCTAGCATCCTTCGGTCTAACATGAAAGAAATCCTTTCATATTAATTCAACCAAAACAATGAATGTCATTTGCTGTCATTACATATATGTATTTAAGGCATATATACATTTATGTAATATAAATAAGCATACTAAGTGTATGTAATTTACATTACATATATGTATTACATATTTTGCATATTGCATATTTACATATATGTAAAAGTGATTTCCAATACCAAAATCACTTTTCTCTAAAAAATGCCCATTGTAAGGGCGTAGAAGAGTAGATTTCTTTTGAACTTTACTGTGAATTGTACCTTCTGAATTCCTTTTATGGTGAAGACCGTGTATATATATTGAATATCTCCAACTGAAGAAAATCCAAAATAATATAGAATCGAAACTTTGTGAGTGACATATGAACTTTCACCCAACATTTTAACATTGTTATGTTTTGTTTCAAAATACACTTTCTTTTGTACTCGATTTTATGTGTGTAATTTTGCAAGGAAAGTAATTTTGTCTGTCAACTTGGCCTTTGCCTACATCTTGGATATTAACGATAGCAATAGCATTTATTCGTATTCGTGACAAAACCTTTAAAATATTTGTGTCAAATAACTGCTGAAGTATCTTCACAACATTGCAATGTATTAAACTATATTACACTTCCACATAAATGACTTCAAAAATTTTCAAAATGTAGTCGAAATGTAAAGTTTTCAAGTGAATGGTCTGGAATAGTAAATAACAATAATCAATAGGTTGCTGAGCCCTCCCCCACCCTGAGGCAATGCTACATTTAGTAACTGCATGGCTAGGACTTTGTGTGCGTGTAGTGTACGTTTCAGAACTTTATCGGTTACATTGCAAGGAAATTCCACACTATAGTCTTCGCTCGACCGGGAATCAAACCCGGGATAGCATAGTGGAAAGCGAGCACGCTGACCAAGAGCTAGACACGAGCCCAGTGGAAAGAGTAGTATTTAACTAAAATAATTTAAGAAATTTCATAAGCAGATTGTATGTACTTTATGTATATAAATACCTTGAGAATCGTTTTTTTAATTTTTTTTTCAATTTGGTTACTTATTGATATGCAATAAGGAGACCAAATAACTGAAGCGTATTCCAATATGGCGCACACAAGTCAAATAGTAGTATTAAACTTGAGGTGTCGTTGAAATTCTTGGAATTTCGAATAATAAAGTCAAAATTTTTCAATGCATCATTTGTTATATTAAATATGTGTTGTTGGTAAGTCAGATTATGTTGCATATGAACCCCTAAGACTTTTACAAAATATACATGTTCTAAAGATTTATTATTCAGATATGCTTTATTTCGAATATAAGTAATGAAGCAACACTTTTTAATATTAAAGTACAAATAATTCCCTATGCTCCATCTATAGACGTTATTTATATTAGCTTGCAAATTTATTTGAATCAGTAACAATTGCCTTATACATTTTCAAATCATCAGCTGAAAGTAAACATTTTTTAGTCCCTGTCCCCTATTTTTTAATGGAAAACGGGACGCCAAAATATTCCGTATTTTGAGACAATGACTAATCAACATAAAGCGCTGTCAACAATTTTCAATTCATCATAATGTATTCCGTTGGATTTGCATTAGTTTATAAAAAAGTAACCGCGACCGTGAGTAATTTATACGCTCATGAACCTCGTAACACGAGTTGCACCGACTATTGAAATCAAAAGGGGGGATCACTGATGGTTCTAGGAAGAAAAACCAGTTCTCATGTCATTTGAGTTTGTATATGCTCTATCGCTATGGATATCATTACAAAAAAATTCAGTAATCCGAACTTTATACTGAACTTTTCAAAAATCATGTATCGAATTCCAAGATTACGTTTCAGATAATGTAAAAGTAATTTCTGCAAATAAATACTTTAACTGCAAATTCTAAATAAATGCTTTAAATGCATCCTTTTTTTCTACAAATAAATTTATTAAACATTGCGGACTTTTTATGTTTATTCGTGCTATCCATTTCCATTGATGTTTAAAAATTAATTTTCGGATTTGTACCGTTTTTTTAGTCGCGAAATGCCACAATATCCCGTTTTGGGCTTTTTAAGATCTGGTCATCTTACTCTAACGTATTTATCATAATATTAGTAATAAACGATTATGTTACCCCTCTGGTCTCAGAAGCACATATATTCCTAGAGGGTTATTTTTTTTCAATTTCGTCGCAGCTGTATTTCGCCAGATCTTGGTGTGCATTTCTAAGTTACGAAGCGGTATTGTAGATTTGGGAGGTCATTGACGACATTTGGTTTTCCACATTTCCACTCTCTAGAGTGAGTAACCCTAGAGAGAGAGAGGAGTTTATTCAATTGCTGGAATACATAGTACTACAGCTCATTAGGCTTTTGTAGTTCTAGCGATGGCTTTAACGTAAAATTCTATTTCTTTACAATCTAATTTAGAACTAAGACGCTGGGTCTCTTTGGGCCTACGACCTTTGCTAACAGCGAGTGCACTGGTATTTCTAAGGCCGGCTGTTTGGGGGTTGGAGTGAGTTCGCAGGGCTGAACAAGATACATAGCTAACGTAATATGCACTCTAATTTCATTAAATCACAAATTGGCGTGATTCGTTGTCTGTCTCTGGAAAAGCGTTTTTTACTCTTCTGCAACGCTAAGTGGAATTCTAAGCACATTGAGATACTTTAAACTCCAACCTTTAGAACGTTGTAGATCATCGTCCTACGTCGTAGTGTTTACGTAATTGTAAGTAAGTCGTTTCTTTGGTCAGCTTTGAGAGGTATTTTGAGTCTTTTTTAATATGGTAGGGTTCTGAAAATCAGAATGATATTTGTTGTTGATACATTGTTTTGTTATGTAGGCCTATCGTTCACTGATTTTTTTTATTATTTGCATGTTCTTGTACTCTTTCCTTTGATATCCTTGAAGTCTGACCCAAGTAACAGTAGTTACATTGAAGGCATTGATCACTTTTTTTAATCTAATTTTGAGAAGGATCCTTCTTGTGCTTTATAATAGGGTTTTTGTTTAAAATGGTTCCTTATTTTAATGTTGTCATTCTCAAGAAATGTTTTTTTAACTTGAGGGTTAATTGATGAAATAAATGGTAATGTTATATACTGACAATGTTTCTTATATTGAAATATTATTGAAAGATTTAGGATGGACTTTACGTAATTTTGCACAAATTAAATGAGAAATATAATTATTTCTTAATAGTAGATAATAATATATAAATATAAATTTACATGACTGTAAATATAAACCGACACAAACTAGGAGTGAAGTATTTTTTATACATACATCGTATTCTTCATGCATTCAATTACTGATAATTTTGTTTGATTTAAAACTGCATTATCTCTCGTGAGTCGTAATTGAGCACAGTAATTGACCACATGTTTTAGTACAGAATGACAATATCTCCATAAATTGTTTGTTTGCTTATTGTCTTCCATCTAATCCAAAGATGCATCCTGTCTAAAAATTAGGTCAAAAAGGTAATCAATACCATATGCTCTGCTGATCTTATTTGAGTGTCGGCCATGAATAGGTTATGTCATCCACGCATTAAGTTTTTGTTTAATACTGGGTGCCGTAAGGCTTGCTTCTGACTAGCATAGTTTTAATGGTGTCCATTCGTCCACTGAACAAAATGCACCATGTAGCTTAGAAGCAGTAAATTTCGCATGGAAGTATTTTGAGGCTCTTAACGTGCTTGCAGATCATGATGTTAATCCTAAAAACGCCTCTACCGCCAAGGCGTCGAGGAAGGGTCACACGTTCAACTGATCTTAAGGTGCTGTTTATGGGTTTTT